GCTGGAGTGCAGTGGCACAGTCTCAGCGTACTGCAACCTCAGCCTCATGGGTTTAAGCGAGTCTCTTGCCTCGGCCTCCCAAGTAGCTGGGATTACAGGCACCGCCACCACACCTGGCTAATTTTTGTGTTTTTAGTAGAAATGGGGTTTCACCGTGTTGGCCAGGCACGGTGCTTCACACCTGTGATCCCAGCATTTTGGGAGGCCAAGGCGGGCAGATCACGAGATTAGGAGATCAAGGTCATCCTGGCCAAGGTGGTGAAACTCCATCTCTACTAAAAGTACAAAAATGATCTGGGTGTGGTAGCACATGCTTGTAGTCCCAGCTGCTTGGAAGACTGAGGCAGGAAAATTGAGCCCAGGAGGTAGAGGTTGCAGTGAGCCGAGATCATACACTCCACCCTGGCGACAGAGTGGGACTTCGTCTCAAAAAAAATAAATGATGGCAGTGTTACTTGGTAAGCAGCAAAACTTTGAATTTGCCATCTGAAGGATTTAAGTATAATCTGTGCAATTGAGTCGGATTCTGTGCAGATACTAAAATAAATGAAAGTTGGGTTTCTTAGTTTGCTTGTGGGCCCCCTTCTCTCTGTCCCTGTTTGGGACACAGTGCTTCCTGCTACGAGCAGGTGGGGTTCTGAGTGGGCCGTCGTGGGCATACACGGCTGCTGCTGGTGACTGGAGATCAGCTACTGAGAAGTTAGTCTCCAGTTTCTGTAACTAAAAATCTTTAGGTGGGGGCGGGGCTGCTGCATAAACAGCTGCTCCTGGTGGCTGGAGAACGGGTTGTATTTGGGGATGTCATCTGAAGTTTCTAGGCATGTTCTCCTAGTGGCATCCCGTTCATGAAAGTTGAGCGATGAATGAGTGATCTTTTCTTCATTCGTGGTGAAGAACTCTTAGCTAGCATCTTCTCAGTTCCTTTTCACCTGTGCAACAAACGGATTGATGAGCTAGAAGACCCTGAATAGGCAAAATATTAAAAAATGTAAACTTTGGCCTACCCTGTCAGAATTAACAAAAATAGTGAAGTTTAGAATAGCGAGGCTTTATTGTAGCATTATAATTTCTGAAAGGCAGATTAAAATTGTTAGTTTTGAATATTGTTTCACGGGATCGGGAGGTTTGAAGAAAGAGAATGTTTTGCCACCAGGAGAGGTGAAATGTGCATTTGTGTGTTATCTTTCTGCTTAGAAGTCAGAGCTCCTTTCTTGGAGGTGCCATGTTATGAAAATAGAAACTTAACTATGGTCATACGCCAAATTTTAAACTGTCTTTGAGATTAGTTACTGAGAAATTAGTCTCCAGTTTTGGGAACTAAAAATCTTTAGGTGGGGGCTGGGCACCGTGGCTCACACCTGTGGTGTACCAGCTACTCGGGAGGCTGAGGCAGAAGGATCATTTGACCTTATGAGGTGGAGGCTGCAGTGAGCCCTGATGATGCAGCTGCACCCCAACCTGGACGTGGGCACACTTGAGTTACTTACGTCCAGCAGGTTTTAGAGTAGTAAAAGTTGAGCATATGGATTTGCAGTGGTTGCAAACCCATGCGTTTATAATAGTTGTAGTTGGGCTTTTTAAAGTAACACATAGCTAACCTTTTGAAAGGATATTTTTATTTGGTTTTTAAGAAATTTCACTTCTGGCTGCTTACTGTTTTGATGGGTTGAGGATCTGAGGGAAGATTGACAGGTGGTTATAGAATACTTCTGGAAGGAAGGAAATGTTGAGTCTCTCCTGATGTCTGAAGCATAGGTCTGTATTATTGCTCTGCACATATCCCATGTGCTCTTAAACTGGTAGAAATGGCAAGTTGCCACAGTTCTCTGTGTTCCATAGACCCATAGGGGGTGGTCCTTGAGGCGCTTTCTGGGGCTGAGGTAAAAACTGTTTCTGCAGTAATAATAGTCTAATAGTACGGGCCTTTTCTGTTGAGTTTGACATTTGTGCCGGTGGCACAGGGCAGATTGGAGCCCCCCCCACCTCCCAGCACCACGCATGAGCACTGTCTGTTTAGAATATGCTGATTTTCCCAAAGAATGTCCCTGGTGATGCAGTAAATATTAATTTTATTCATTCTTAACCCCCAAACATACGTCTTTACTTTCCCTGTGATTAAATGTCAAGTTACATATAAAAAGCTTCTGCTGTGTCCACTCATGGGTGCTGTCTCCATGTACAGCCCTAGGGGTCTGAGCTGGGAGCTGAGTGGTCTTTGGGAACGCTGACTGTCCCTGACAGAACAACAGACGGAGGACAGTTTTCAGACTCAGCATGTGGCAGGCATTTTGTGCAAAGCGAATGATATCTCAGAGAACGAAGAATGTTTGTTGCTAAGGATAAAATTTGAGCTTTGGGGTGAAAATTGGAATTTTGGAAAACTTGTATCAGTGAGCCTTGATTGTGCCACTGCACCCCAGCCTGGGTAACAGAAAAAAAAATGTGGTTGTTTTATGCTGTCTGATGAGATGTGTGGACATTGAGAATCTCTGTCTGAAACTTGGACTCATGTCATCCAGGTGACCAGCCATGCACACAGGTTCAGAGTGCCAGGATGTGTTCAGAGTGCAGCACAGCAGTCGGTTTTAATGGAAGAAAGTGAGAAGTTCATTGACAAAGGCTTCAAATTCTGTTTTCAGCTAACTTTAATGAAACTGCTGCTTGGCGAGAATTGGTGTAGTGAGCATCCGCAGTTATGTGAAGATGGTTACAGTACTCCCATTTTTAATGACCTGTCTGTGTGAGGCAGGATTTTTATGCTGTGTTTGAGCTGAAACACTCTGGGAGCAGGTTGAACTCAGGAGACAGGAACATGGAGCTGTCTTCTGTGTTAAGCCGGAGATCTGCAGAAAGGGACAGCAGGGCCGCGCTCTGCCTTCATTTTTGTTTGTTTTAGAAATAACTTTTTTTCATTAAAGATACTGTTAATGTATTAATTTATTTTTAATACATATTTAGAATTTGAAAATAGCAATATATTCCACATAAAGAAAAGCTCTTTGGTTTTCTCAACTTTTAAGAGTAAGGGTGTCTTGATCAAAAGGTTAGAGAGCAGCTGTTGAAGAATTTGGAAGTCTGTGCATGCTAGGCTTGAATCATTGATTGCTCTTCAGCTCCCTTCTAATTAATAGGAAGTGAAGCAGTTTTCGGCTGAGAAAAAGAAGATAATATCAATTCAGTGCATTCTGTTTTCACCCAGTTTCAAGGATGCCTGCATTTTTCCCTCTGGGGAAAGGTTGTGACTGACACGATATGGCTGCATTTTCATGAGCACGTTCCCCCTGCAGTGCTGCGCCGTATGCAGAGTTACACACTAATTCTACACACAAAAAAGTTGTTTAGAAACTTAAAACAGTTTTTTTTGCTTGGGCCTTGATATTCTTATGTTTTTATTTTATAAGCTGACTAAAATGTAGTACATTTTCTGTGTTGAAGACATTGTAAAGTCAGTTTTGTAAATACACAGTGCTCTGATCTTTTCTGAAGGTGTGTCCTTCATCGCATTCTGCTTCACAGAAATAACTTCATTTTTCTGATTACTCAGAATTCAAATCTAGTAGCATGATTACTTTGCGGGTTAACATAAATTGAATTTTCATTCCTAAGAACATCTTAATTTCTTTGCTTTTATAAATATTTGGTGTTGCTGGGCATAGTGGCTCGTGCCTGTAATCTCAGCAACTCTGGAGGCTGAGGCAGGAGGATTGCTTGAAGCTAAGAGTTCAACATGAGCCTGGACAGCGTAGCGAGGCCCTGTCTCTAAAAGAAATGTTTTAAAAAATTAGCTGTGCATAGTGGCGCACATCTGTAGCTGCAGTTGCTCGTAAGGCTGAGACAGGAGGATCACTTGAGCCCAGGAGTTTGAGACTGTAGTGAGCCATGATCGGGCCATTGCATTCCAGACTGGGCAACAAAGCAAGACACCAACTCTTTGAAAAGGAAAATAAATTAAATGCTCGGTGTTGTGAAATATCAAAGTTTATTTCCAGTGTTTTCTGAGCAGTAGTTTCTGAACTCTTGAAGTAGTCATTTTGCGGCCAGGTTTACCACATTGAAGAGCTGGTGGCTGTGAAGATACCATTGGCTGATCGGAGGGAGTGCTGAAGTCTGAGTGATCCCTGTCTTACTTTTATTTCCTGTAGAGACAGGGTCTCACCATGTTGCCTGGGCTTGTCCCATAGAACTCCTGGGCTCAAGCAGTCCTCTCAAGCAGCTGGGATCACAGATGCAAAGCACTGTGCCCAGCTGTCACTGTCCCTTTAAAAGGAGGGGAGCTGGAATGCTTGTCCCTTTGTTCTGGGGTTGCCAGGGAAACCACAGAGGGAAGGCAGTTGGTCTTGAGGCTGAGGACCAGGTGAGAGCAGGAGCTCAGCTTGGGAAAGGGCTTTGGGGCAAAGGACCTGACTAGAAACCAGACCACTGGGTGTTCTGATGCGCCTGCTTGAAAGAGGATATGGAAGTGTTTTTTAAATACGGTGAGCTGTATCCTGTTGATTTTAGTAAGTCAAAAAGTCTTCTAAAATTTTTCTTGGGTTTTTAATTAAAATAATACAGCCACATTATTAAGAATTTTCAATAATTACATTGTTACATAATTTTTGTTGTTCAGCCTTTTCACTTTTTGTTCTTCTCTGTTTTGTATTGGGTTTTCTTGAATGGGGTCCATCTGAGACGTAAGCTCCAAATGAAGAGAAGCTGATGCCTGGCGACTCCTCTCTGCCCTGGTCTGGCTGTGCCTCTGCCTGCCTCCCTGGGGCAAGCCTGGGACTCCACTCCTTCCTGCACTGCCATGGCCCCTTTCTCTCGGAGGGTGTTGGTGGCATCTGCTGTCCTGAGTAAATGTCCTTGAGGATGCTTATTTTCAACTCCCAAGCTGTCTTTCTGGGTCACATAGTGTAACTCAAATAATAGGTTTCTTGGGAAGTTTGGTGCCTGATTTTAGTTGTTATTGATACTTAATTTTCGTTAAAAATGTAAGATGTTTTCTTATTCTCTTTCAGGAGCTTACTCCATGGGAGCAGCCTCTAGATAATCTGAATTGTTGAAAATACGAAGCCTGTTACTTGTGAACAGTGGCTGACGACAGTGGCGTCGTGAGCCTGGCTGTTTGCTTGGGCCAAGAGCTTTCATCTGCCAGGGTTTTTTTCTTGTATTTAGGATTTCAGGGAAGTGTCAAGCTTTCAGTGTTGGAGCAGGTAAGGTATCAATACTTTTAGTCAGTAGCGACAAAATTTTAACGTAATAAGTCTGCATTTGCTGTTTCTAAAGTGGCATTTGTAAAAAAAACTGATAGAATGTAGTATTTGTGTTTGTTTGAAATACACTCAGCCATTTGTATGACCAGTCTCTATAGCAGCAGATTCTGCATTTGTGGATTCTACCAGCTGCAGATCGAAATATTTGGGGGGTCAAACAATAAATAATAATTGAACGCTTAATAAAAATTGTATAAAACAGTATAGTACAGCAGCTATTTCTATGATGTAATCTAGAGGTGATTTAAATATTTGAGAGGTTTTGCATAGGTCATATACAAATAGCCTTTTCTCTCTTTAATGAGAACTCAGTTTTGTAGAGTTCTTCCCATAGAAAGCTACCAGCTTGGCGGCCCCAGCCCTTTTCAGCTGCGTTGGAGTTTCATGGGCCCCAGAGGCAGAGGGGACACTACAACTTCATGCCTTTCTGGGAAAGCCTGGTGCCAGCCCCTCTAACTACATCTTTAGTAGAAACTCCAAGTGTTACATGAGAATGAGGGCTTGATGACCCTCTTAAAGGTGACTGTCACATTTGCTGCAAATATTTTGGCTGGCACAAGCAGAAAAACTTTGTAAATGTAAAATTTCCCATGAGAATGCATAAACAGTTTTAACTGATGTGGTTTAATCACGGCTCCAGCATATATATTTATAAGCAGCATTCTCTGCTTTGCCCACAACTTTTGAGGTCAGCGTTGTCTCCTGGTTGAGGGCAGTTCCTTGTGTCCTGCCTGGGGTCACCTGGCTGGCGAAGGAAGCCCCCCGTTCTATTTACCCCCGTCTCTAGTGCCCACCTCACACAGCGGCCTGTAGAGTTTGCGCTCTGACTTGGAGTCACTCCTGGCACCCTGATTAGGTTTGGCTGTTTCCTTTAACAGTGGGGTCACTTGAGGTAACCATAGAAGTGATGTGGCCCTTACCTCCAAGGCTTCTGCGTGGTGACATGGGAGCGTGTGGGCCACGTTCACAGCACGGAGGCCACCGCCAGGCAGCATCTTTAGCTGGACCGGAAAGTGAGAAGTAGTGACAGTATTTAGAGGGAAGCAGAAAGAACAACACAGGTTGCAAGTAATTTTCCATTTTGTATACTTTGTAAGACTTCCGTTTTATACCAGTCCCTCCCCTAGGACAGAGCATGACACAGAATCAGTCATCATTAGCATTTAAATGTAACTAAAGCTTGGACAGCTTGGAAGATAATTCTCAAAGTATATACTGTCTTTTTCAGATTATGTCATTTCAACAAGAGTAAGTTTCACAAATAAAATTGATTTTTTTTTTTTTCTTTGAGACAGAGGCTCGCTCCGTCGCCAGGCTGGAGTGCAGTAGAGCGATCTCAGGTCACTGCAACCTCTGACTCCCTGATTCAAGCGATTCTCCTGCCTCAGCCTCCCAAGTAGCTGGGATTACAGGCACGCACCACCACGCCCAGCTAATTTTTTGTATGTTTAGTAGAGATAGGGTTTCACCACGTTGGCCAGGCTGCGCTCAAACTCCTGAGCTGATGATCACCCTCCTTGGCCTCCCAAAGTGCTGGGATTACAGGCGTGAGTCACCACGCCCAGCCCACAAATAAGATTCTTTAGTAATGTATTAGAATGAAAGTGAAAAGGAATACAGAAAAGAAATATACCTTAAAATGATCACCTTGACCGTATTTTCTAACAATATCTCCAAAGCTCAGTGGACTAACATGAGGTTTATTTCCTATCACACAGTCTGTAGGTCAGGAGTCAGGCAGCTCCCTCCCTTGGTGCCCATGAGGGTCATTCACTTGGCAGCAGTGCTGGTGTGGAGGGTTCCAGATAGTTACCGGGTGCCCTTCCTGGCCCCAGCCCCTGGTTGGGGAGCTGAAAGTCAGGGCTCAACTTCTCCATATCCTCTTTTGAGCATGCTAGTGTGCAGCCCATTCTTACAAAGTCCAGAACAGACTTGGGTCCTCTTGCAGGCCGCGCCCATCCTGGCACAGCGTCTCGTTCACTGCGCTTGTGGTCAGTAGCCCATCTGCCTGCGGAAGTGCTGGGGAGCTTGTGCTGCCCCTGAGCTGGGACGTCCTTATACCACTTAACCACTGTGCTGTTCATTATTTTAGATTTGTCGCTACTACCTGTCTCGTGAAGCCTTGGCCTAAGCAGTTAGATGAAGAAATTGTACATTTGATTCGTTCGCTGTATTTTTGTCTAAACGTTAGTTGTTGAACTATATTAAAATCTGAAATCATCTCACGTAGCACACATGAGGAGACATGGTCAGAAGGGCTTGCTTTGTGTGGAGGTCCACTGTCCATAGGAAGCATGTTGTTTATAAAGGGGCATTTAGGGAGGTGGTCTGTGCTGCGCGTGATTGGTGGCTGTGTCGTCCTTTGCTCCGTGGTCGGTTGGTTACCATGTGCATATGCTTTTTTGCTAGATATGGATGACAAAGGTGACCCAAGCAACGAGGAGGCACCTAAGGCCATTAAACCCACCAGCAAAGAGTTCAGGAAGACATGGGGCTTTCGAAGGACCACTATCGCCAAGCGAGAGGGAGCAGGGGACGCGGAGGCTGACCCACTGGAGCCGCCGCCCCCGCAGCAGCAGCTGGGCCTGTCCCTGCGCCGCAGTGGGAGGCAGCCGAAGCGCACCGAGCGCGTGGAGCAGTTCCTGACGATTGCGCGGCGCCGCGGCAGGAGGAACACACCTGTCTCCCTGGAGGATTCTGGTGAGCCCACGTCCTGTCCCGCCACAGATGCCGAGACTGCCTCTGAGGGCAGCGTGGAAAGCGCTTCTGAGATCAGAAGCGGCTCCCAGTCGGCTTCCACAGCTGTGACAGACAAGGCCTCTTCTGAAAAGGCGAAAGGAGGGGATGACGAGGATGACACCTCCGATAGTGACAGCGATGGCCTGACCTTGAAAGAACTTCAGAATCGCCTTCGCAGGAAGCGGGAACAGGAGCCCACCGAGAGGCCCCTGAAAGGGGTCCAGAGTCGCCTGCGGAAGAAGCGTCGGGAGGAGGGCCCCGCAGTGACTGTGGGCCCTGAGGCCGGTGATGCTGTGGAGGACGTCCTGCCCAGTAAGCAGGAGCCCGAGAATGAGGAGGGGGTTGTGTCCCAGGCTGGGAAAGACGACAGAGAGACTAAGTTGGAGGGAAAGGCGGCTCAGGGCATCAAAGATGAGGAGCCTGCGGACACGGGCAGACCGAAGCCGGAATGTGAGGGCTATGACCCCAACGCCCTGTATTGCATTTGCCGCCAGCCCCACAACAACAGGTGGGTCATGTATGGGCACTTTACCTCAGCGGCCACAGGAATCCCAGGGACAAAAACAATTTTCCATTTGTTTTCATTTTAAAGGGTTACAAAGCTGGGCCGGATGAATAATTTGTTAAGTTGGAAAACACGAACAAGTCATTGTCAAAAAAGAAACACGTAGAGTGGCTAAGGACTGCCTAGAGCCACCTCTCCCCTCTGGTAGCCACCAGCCACCATGGCTGTTTCCAGTCAAGTGAGGAGAGAATAGCTCCCCACCCCAGTCACATGAGCCACATCCAGCCAATGGCTCTGTGTAGACAGCACAGAGGAGAATGGGTCTGTCACTCGGGGGGTCTGTCTGTCTGAGACCGCATCTTTAGATTGCTCCTTGGGAGACTTGGCAGAGGGCTCTGTGAAGACTGCAGCTGGCCTAGTACAGACGTTGGGGCAGCTCAGCCTCTGCCAGGACTGGGCGTCAGGTGGTGCAGGGCAGCCTGTTGGCTTGCTGCTGGGTTAAAGGCATTGTAATCGCAGTCATGCTGAGGTATCTGTAGTGGAATGCCCTACAGTTCACTCCTAAAATGCCCCTTTCTTTAAAAAAGGGGAAGCAAGTTTGGTTGAATGTTAAAATCAAGGGAAAGGAATGTGGACATTCTTATTCTCTACTTTTCTGTATAGTTGCATTTCTTCATAATGATAAAACCAGTCGACTTACTAATGTGTTGAAAAGTCAGTGCTTGTCATTCACTCCCTGTTGCTAATACCGTTATTTTATCATTTCAGGTTTATGATCTGCTGTGACCGATGTGAAGAATGGTTTCATGGCGATTGTGTGGGCATTTCTGAGGGTCGAGGGAGGCTTTTGGAAAGGAATGGGGAAGATTATATCTGCCCAAACTGCACCATTCTGCAAGTACAGGATGAGACGAATTCGGAAACCACAGATCAGCAGGAAACTAAATTCAGACCTGGAGATGCTGATGGCACAGATTGTACAAGTATAGGGACGATAGAGCAGAAGTGTGGCGAAGACCAGGGGATAAAGGGTAGAATTGAGAAAGCTGCAAACCCAAGCGGCAAGAAGAAACTCAAGATCTTCCAGCCTGTAAGTGTCTGTCCACTGAGACAAGCATTCAGGGTTTTAGTTTTGCTCTTGATGGGAATTCCTCCCAGGATGGCACTGCGCCCTTGCGGGGCTGTGCGTCTCCCAGGTTCCTGCCTTACTCCATCGGGGTGAGGCCTTTCTATTTTTATGCGTACCCTGCCTGCCTCCTCTACTGTTCATGACTTGATTTTGAAAATGAGCCCATCTTTGAGGATTTGGACGTTGCTCACATGTTCTGTGCTTACTAGCGGAACTCTTTGAGCGCCGGGAGTGGCGGTGCTCCTGTGTCACCTGCAGTCTCCAGCTGCCTCGTGGTTCTGCTGCTGGTTCCTTGGGGTGCTTGTGTTGAGAGTGTGGTTTCTCTGTCTTGCAGTTGCGTTGACCTAATTGTCCCCTCCCCCTGATTTTTATCACATTTCCCACATGCTGTTGGTTTCTGCTGCTGTCTCCTGTTCGGAGTCTCCATTCCAGTCCCCACGGGGTGTATGTGACTTGGTGTGTTTTCACTCTGCACCTTCCTGGGTCCCAGGCCTGCCCTCACCCTGTGTCTAGAAGCTGCCTGCCCTCTGGCAGGTATTAGAGATTGCTGTGTCTAGAAGCATCTCTGCCTTGCACTCTTGCACTGTGTCTTGCACTGTGTTACCTGCAGCATGAGGATGTTTGACAGCTGGGCCGTGCACGTGGGGACGTGCCCGGGAGACATTGAGGGGCTGCAGGCACGTGCTCCACATGGTCCACGGTCCACATTTAGCTATTCAGAGATTAATGGAAATGTGATTTAATGAGAATATAGTCATCAATTTTATGTCTTTATTTTTAAAATTCATTTACTTTGGTTTTTTTTTTTTTGCAGTTGGGGCTTTGCTTTGTTGCCCAGGCTGGAGTTCAGTGGCGCAGTCTTGGCTCACCACAGCCTCCATCTCCTGGGCTTGAGCGAGCCTCCCGAGTAGCTGGGACTGCAAGCACGCACCACCATGCCTGGCAGTTTTTTATTATCCATGTGCTTGACATAACCCTACACAAACCTAAATTGTATTCTAAGTAAAACTTAAATTCTGGGGAGGAAAACCGATTATTTAATTTGAGAAATGAAGTTTTGCTTAATTATGTGTGAGGTGCGTGTTTGTGTGTGCCGGCCTGATCGCTGAGACAGACTTCGTAAACAGCAGCCGCGCTGCTTGCGGCGCATGAGTTTCCTCTGGCTGCACGATGAGTTACCACAGTCCTGGCTGGAAGGAGCACACGTTTATGCCTCCATTTCTGTGGGAAGCCTGGGCCTGCTGCGCGGGCCTCACAAGACTATAGTCACCGTGCAGCCGGGGCTGTGGTCTCAAGAGAGGCTTGGCGGGGGATTCCCTTCCAGAAACTGTCACACTTTTTTTTACTGTATAAGTGTGTTCGGCTGGGTGCTGTGGCTCACACCTGTAATCCCAGCACTTTGAGAAGGCAAGGCGGGAGGATCACTTGAGGCCAAGAGTTCAAGACCAGCCTGGGCAACATAATGAACCCTCTATCTCTACAAAAAGTAATTAGCTAGGTGTGATGGTACGTGCCTGTACTCCCAGTTACTAGGGAGGCTGAGGTGGGAGGATCACTTGAACCCAGGACATCAAGGCTGCAGTGAGCTATGCTTGTGCCACTGCCCCCTGGCCTGGGCAACAGAGCAAGACCTGTCTCAGACAAAAAAAAAAAGGTGTGTCTCATGCAGTCTGGGGGGCATACTTATGCAAAAAAAGTGTTCATTGTTTATCAGACATTCAGATTGCATTGGCATCCTGTGTTTTACTGGGCAGCCTTGCCCTCGGATCCTCGCCACAGGAAACCCTCTCAAAACAGGGCAGCTTACCTCAAGACCACCTAGGAAGCCTAGGAAGTCTTCTCTCTTCAAGAAGACCCAGTCCTCCTTCTTCTTTTTTTTTTTTTTTTGGACGGAGTTTTGCTCTTGTTACCCAGGCTGGAGTGCAATGGCGCGATCTCGGCTCACTGCAACTTCCGCCTCCTGGGTTCAGGCAATTCTCCTGCCTCAGCCTCCCGAGTAGCTGGGATTACAGGCACGCGCCACCATGCCCAGCTAATTTTTTGTATTTTTAGTAGAGACAGCGTTTCACAGTGTTGACCAGGATGGTCTCGATCTCTTGACCTCGTGATCCACCCGCCTCGGCCTCCCAAAGTGCTGGGATTGCAGGCTTGAGCCACCGCGCCCGGCCCCAGTCCTTCTTTTAAGGGTTTTTATCTGATTTAAGTTGGACCCATTTGACTTGCAGTCATCCCAGTTAGGGCCTTAATTACATCTGCAAAATGCATGTGTGTCCTCTAGTGGGGCCTCATTGTGGATGTGAGGTCCCATGGGTCCAGTGTGGGGCGGCGGCCGCAGGGCATGAAGGGCAGTGACAACGTGAACGCCTTACCTGGTGCAAGGGGATTCTCATAGCTGGAATACACAAAATAAATGTTTGTTCATATTAAAAATACTGTTAGTATCTTATTTTAAAACGGTGGCCATGCTACTATAAATGGTGATTTTACAAAACACTTAACTGCTAAAAATTGGCAAGTACATTATTTGAAGTCATCTGTTCTATTCTGCAGGTGATAGAGGCGCCTGGTGCCTCGAAATGTATCGGCCCCGGGTGCTGTCACGTGGCGCAGCCAGACTCTGTGTACTGCAGTAATGACTGTATCCTCAAACACGCCGCGGCCACAATGAAGTTCCTTAGCTCAGGTAAAGATCAGAAGCCGAAACCTAAAGAAAAGATGAAGATGAAGGCAGAAAAGCCCAGTCTCCTGAAATGTAGCGTTCAGGTGAGTTGACCAAGACCAGCCATACAAGCAGTGGACGCACAGGCGTGCAGGAGGATTTGTCTCAGACCCTCTGGTTTCTAGAACGTGGGGGTGGCAGGTGTGGGTGGAGCACAAGTGACGTTGCCTTCCCACCAGTTTTCCTTTCTCTGCCCGTTAGCTGAGGGGCTCATTAATGTAAGTGCAGTAAAGCAGATGCTGACAAGGGCACTGCACGGGGCGTAAGACTTGAGGACAAACCCTGCTGTCTTGTAAGAAGAGTTTGTAACCACCCGTTGGAGTTTGTAAAACGTAGACTCAGGCTGGCAGGAGTGGGAGGTGGGTTCTGGGCAGGGCTGTGTGCGTTATTGAAGACCCAGCTCAGAATTGTCTCATGTTTGTACTGCATGGGACTTGGAAAGAATCCAGGGTGCTTAGAAATCATCACCTCTTGTCTTAGACTTCAAGGCCCCTTCCAGGTCTCAGGTGGCCGTGGCTTGTCACTGCCCCTGTTATGTTTGTGACCAGCAAAGGATAACTAGCACTGTTTGGGGAGTTGTCTTGATTGTTTTCAAATGATTACCCTTTGGATGACTTAGTTTTTAAGGCTGGTCCCTTTGAACCCTTGGCATTGGGCACAGCCCGTGCACAGGCCGTTCCTCTCGTTTGGCCTGGTTTGCCACCCTCCAGTGGCTGCTGCTCCTGTCATCTTAGCAATCTGGCACTTACTCAGGGTCGCAGGTGACTCCGTGCCAGGTGCCCCTCGTGTAGCTCAGGTGGTTGAAGTCCTCAGTTTTGCAGAGGGGCACTGTGGGCCCCCTGGGTCCATCCACAAGTGTGTTGAGCTGCTGCCAGGCAGGCGCAGGGTGGGTGCAGGGGCTTGATGGCCCCAAGAAGACACTGGGTCCCTACCTTCATCACTCAGTGAAATGAAGTGCAGGTGTCATTTCTTACCTTCTTAATGATTTGGGGTTTTAATGATTATCCAGGCAGGCATTAAAATCTCTTCTGTGCACAAGCGACCAGCTCCAGAAAAAAAAGAGAGCACCGTGAAGAAGGCAGTGGTGGCCCCCGCTCGGAGCGAGGCACTTGGGAAAGAAGCAGCTTGTGAAAGCAGCACGCCGTCGTGGGCGAGCGATCACAATTACAATGCAGTCAAGCCAGAAAAGACTGCCGCTCCCTCGCCATCACTGTTGTATAAATGTATGTATCACCTAGGGGTTGGCCTCCTGGACCCCTCCCGTTCTTTCTGGATAGCCATCCCCTGGGCCTGCCCAGGCCTGGGAGTTGCAGCTGTGTGTTAAGCTGATCACAGACACCGGCTGCACCATCAGCGGGAAGCAGAGCCCAGGTCCAGGATGCCTTCTGCTGCCCTGTGTCCACCCTGGTCTGTTGAGACTTCCTGTCACTGTTTACCAAAGCTGTACAAACCCCACTGGTGAACATTTCACCTTAATGATTGATTGTTTAATCTCTGTTTTCACTGTCAGGCTCTGGTAAGTATTCGTATTGTCTTCATCCAAGTCTGATTGCATAGCCACACTGCCCGGCACTCAATGTTCATCCTGTCCCACCTCAGCTGTTTGATGACAGCCCTGTGTACACTGCAGTTTCCACATTATCCACGTTCAGCACATGAAAGCATCACTTCTTTATGTTGTGGGAATCTGCAAGTTAGTGTCGCGTCTGATGCTCAACTTACCTATGATTTTCAGATGTTACGTTTATTTTTGACTAGGCAGATGGGGGATTTTTTTTTTAATGTCCGATTTACATGCTACACACCCGCATAAACACACATTCGAACTCTGAAGGCCACGCGCTCCTGCTTCGTAGTCCTCACGGTAAGTGAGTTCACACCTAGAACACCGTCCTGACCTCAGGACGCGTGGCTTGGACTTGGTATTCTACATGTGACTGGCTTTCTTACCTTCCTCTCTTGAATGTTTAGACTGTTAAGATCATACCCTGCTCCAAATTTCAAATTTCTGAAATGAAGATATTTCAAACAGATCTTTGAAACCTCAGATTCTGTGATGCAACATGAATGTTTCCTTGTTTCTCAGTTTTCTGCTATAAAACTGTTTTCAATTTAGTCTTTAATACCTTCTGTCTATTGTGCATTTTGTGCTTTTTTCAGAAAGCACCAAAAGGTTAAATAGCCACCAATTCAAAGATGATGAAGGAGTGCTGAGTGCTGCGTTTTCCCTGTGATCAGACCTGTGGCAGGTTCCCTACGGGGGAGGTGCTTACTGCAGCAGACACATCTGTGCTGTGCTAGATCTGGTGTGGTTTACAAAATATATGGTTTTTTTTTGTTTTTGTTTTTGAGACAGTCTTACTTTGTTGCCTAGGCTGGAGCGCAGTGGCATGATCTCGGCTCACCGCAACCTCCACCTCCAGGTTCAAACGATTCTCCTGCCTCAGCCTCCCAAGTAGCTGGGATTACAGGCCCCTTGCCACCATTCCTGGCTAAGTTTTGTATTTGTAGTGGAGACAGGGTTTCACCATGTTGGCCAGGCTGGTCTCGAACTCCTGGCCTCATGTGATCCACCCGCCTTGGCCTCCCAAAGTGCTGGAATTGCAGACATGAGCCCCACTGTGCCTGGCCAAAAATATGCAGTTCTTGAGTTTGAGTAGTGTAGTAAAAGAAAATTAGGTCATTCATTTTGATCATGTAAACAGCCTATACCTAAGAAATTGAGCTGCAGATAAATTGAACCATGTAATTTTCATGAACCTTGAGACGCCTTACGTTGTTTTGAGCTGAGAATTTTATGCTAGCAAATAATGTCTCCAGTGTTCATCAGACTCTAGTACCTCTCCAGTAGAGCAATTCTACAGAGCTAATGGACTTAAAGTAAGTGTCACCCACCTTGTGAATGCAGAGGGAGGGGTTTTTCATGCTGTGCTGAAATTTAGCCCTGCGTTGGTTATAGGCACATAACAATCAAGAAAAGAAAAACTGGGGTTAATAACCTCAGTTCACATAAGAGGGTGATAATTTCAGTTTGGTTAATTTCCATCTGTGTCAACCAAAATTGAAAAGCTGCCGGGGAAACTCCACACGTGGAGTTGCAGAAGCCAATGTACATTGCTGTACATTTCGGGGAGGGAGCATTGGTGGGAAGATGGGGAAATGAGGGGCTCATCCCTGGGTTATTGCTTCCTGCCTGCCTCCTTCACTGTGAGCAGGGCAAGTTCGACAAGGAGGCTGGAGCTTTGCCCGTAGCTGGGTCCTCTGACCTGCTCTCCCTGTTCCCTTCTCTGCTACACATCAGTTGCTCTGGAAGCTGATTTGCCCCAGGGGCAGGAAGTGGGGGAAGTTAATGCCTGTTAGCCTTCCCAGCACATCACCTCAAGTTAAAATTGGTAGGTTTCCAGAATTTATACAGGACGTGAATGGGAGACGCACTTTTGAGCTGGTAGCTTCTGTTTTGTTATCCCAGAAAGGTCATCTTCCCAAAAAGTGGTTGATGGGAGCAGAGTTAAGGGGCGTTGGTAAGAGCAGCTACCATGTCTCTGCCTCCCCACTAAACACTTTTGCGGGCTCAACAGCTTGCCACTGCTTTATGTCTTTGAGGCCCACACTCTGCCTCCCTGGCTGGCAACGGAGCCCTCCTTTCCTATAGGGGGTGAGATTGGAAGTGAGGCTGGTGTGGGTCTGTCCTGTGAGTCGCTGCACGCTTGCCTCACCATGCCTGCCGTCAGAAGACCCACGGGGTAGAGCTGCCACTGCTGCTCCCCAGGGTGCACCTGGCCCCTTCCTGTCCTTCCTGTGGCACTCGGTTGCCCTGGAGCGTCCTGCGCACAGATGCTCTGCCACTGGTGAGGTGTCAGTAGGTGCTTCACAGCCTCACCTATTCCTCCCATTTGTTTTTAAAAATTGTTTCTTATGTATACAATTTCTTTAGCTTATGGAAACATTTGGCACATACTTCTCGAGGATCATGAGGTTTGTGTTTTTATAAATTGTTCTTCCTTTTTTCTCTTTATTCCCACTGTTAGTTCACCTCCCATTATTGTCCAGGCATGAGGTCAGTTGGAAACTTGTTTCTTAGGTATACCTGACTGACTAGACTTTTGCAGTGGAATTCTGGCATTTATAGGTGCAATTCCCAGTGTTTTGGACTCCCTAAATGGCTCATAAAGTGACTTAAACACTGAGGATCTGAACAGATTTTGACTGGAAAGCAGATTCTACAGTTCATCTAGCCGTTGGAATTAAAGTGGAAAACCTTGCCAGTTTGTAAACCCAAATCCAGACGCTGTGTTAAGCATGGCGCCAGGTGGAAGCACTGCCTCTTGTTCCCACGTGCTGCCACAGAGAAGGCCCTGGTGGCATGAGAGGGATGGAGAACACCGTTCACAAGGAGAACTCATGATGTGGGCTCCAGAAGCACGTTTCACTGAAATCCTCAGAGGATCCAGTTTCAGTTTTCAATAATAAAAAATACATGGGTGGGGCGGCTGGGCTCTAGAACCTAAGAGTGTTTTGCAGGAATTTAAAGCCGGGAGAGGAGGTTTCTGTCAGCAGTCGCTTGAGCTCTTTTGATGTGTCCCCTCCAGAGTTGTCAGCAGCAGTAAAATGAGGCTGGGAGTCATGAGACTCCGCATCTTCACCAATGTCGTCCTCCCACTTAGAGGGAAAGTCAGAATTTGTACAAAAAGGGTATAGCTTGATAGCTGCTTTATGTACCCACATAAGTGGACGTTTCTTGGTTGTCAATAATGACATTCTTTTGGCATTTTTAAGTGTTTTACTTTTTATTAACTTAAAAAAGCATGCCATTGAGAAAGGGACATGAGGGAAAGGTTCCACATCTCCATAACCCTGAGCCTGCGTGGTGAAGCCCCGAGCCAGCTCCTTCCTGTGGTGCCCTCCATCCGTCCCTCGACTGCCCACTTTGTGCTATGCTTCCGCCACTTGCGGGGAGGCGGGGCGCAGGGATCGAAGTTTCCAGCAGGATCGGTCCCACCGAATTCACCACCTCTTCAGTCACCTTCATAGAACCTTTTGAAGCTATGGATCTGCTGTAATAGTTAAAGATTAATACTCAGGAAAGCCCCTCTGGCATCGGTGTCACAAGTGCAGAGGTCACCTCTGAAGATGCCTGCTACAGTTCCTCCACTGTGGTACACAAGTTTAAGGTAGATTTGTATAAACTTGTAAAATAATCCTGAGGGTTTTTTTTCTTATTAACGCATCAACATACACATAGTTATGTTCTTAGCTTCTAAAATTTAGAGAAGTAACTTAGAAGATGGACAAGAATTATTGCTACTTATTAAATGAAGGTTGTGGCAACTTTGATTTGCTGCAAACCTGGAAGAGTTCGGCAAGAAGAATGTCAGGTAACTGACTGCATACTCCTCAGCCGTGCCTCTCACAGTACTGTCAGCTGGGGGCTTTCATACTTAAATGTGGCCCTTTGGGACTGGAGGGATTTCAAGGGAGGGTCATGGACTAATTTAACATGCCCCTGACGTCATATTGGTTTCAGTAGTGCACAGTTTAGATGATCAAGATTAAATTACTGGTGTGGGAGATCTCAGAAGAGCAGCGGCTCTGCTCCCAAATGGATTTCACAGCCAGGCACACCGTGCGCAGCTGGGCATGACTGAAATTGCAGTTGAGTGGAACGTCCGTCTCTCCACGTGGCCTTCAGCATGTTTTATTGTTGTGGTTCTCGTTGAAGTCGGCCAGTTCTTTGTATAGTCTCATCCCAACATGAATCAGGTTTTAATTGTTAAAGTGCTACGTGAGGCCAGTAAACCAAGGAAGGGTAATTTGCCTCCAGGTGTAGGCAAATTACTTTTTTTCAAGTTTCTTAAGGAGAATCGCACACCTTTTCAGTAAGATGGAAGGCACTCGTACAGTAGGTATTAGTAAGAAAACTAACCAAGGAAAGCGTTTGAGTATTCCAAAACATGGCAGCCTGGCTGTGGACCCTGTGAGGGCTTCCCGGCTGCAGTGATGATCTCTGAGGAGCACCTGGGAGGTGGTCTGTGCCTGCTTATTTGGGAATTAACCATGGTTTCCCCCAACATGGAAGCAAACCAGTAACTTACTGTACTTACTAAGGCTAATTTATTTGAACACATTTCAGCATGTTGAGAGGAGCAAAGGCAGTACGTTTTCTCTTGCTGCTGTCACCTTGATCATTCACACTAGGGGAAATCTTGATGGTGAAGAAACGGGTAAAGTGGGAAACTGCGTTGTACACACGCCTCACTGAGGGCTGGAGATAGGTCACAAGTGAACAGAATTTCCTTCCACAGATCCCTCACTGTGTCTCGAGTCTATTTCCAGGTGCACGGCATAGAAACGACCCTTAGAGCTGTAGCTGGCAGTGACAGGTAGAATTCAGGACACAGTGGGGTCTGCTGCTGCAGCATTCCTGGACCAGCCAGCCATACCGGGACAGGGCAGGCCAGTTCATTGTCAATGCCTATGCAAGGGCAAGTGGTGGTGTTTTTTTAAGTTGTTTTTATAACCAATTCCTTTCCCTGTGAGGAGCCGTCCAGCAAATAAGGTCCCTAGACGTGGGCCTCTGGACAGGCCAGAACTCTGCAGACTTGGTCTCTTGCCCCATATTTTAATCCCCGTCCTGCAAAAACTTCCACTGGGGCAATTGCACGGGTTCTACACAGGGAGCGGAGGAGCGCCATCCTCCAGTGGGGGCCTGATTTTGTCCTCCCGGTGTCTGCTCATGTCCTGGTGCCACCCAGTGGCCAGCGGCGCTGTAGCACCTAAGCCTGCCTTACTCCTGCTTTGGGGGAAATTGGCCAATTAGAGGGTGCCGCTGATCCATGTGCACAACGACGACCTGCTTCGTTCTACAGTTGGCTGGAACCCACGCCCGGCAGCAACAGCTTCGTCTGGGGCAGTGGCCTGGGCAGGCCCCCAGAATGTGGAAGCTAAAGGAGACCGCTGCAGCCAAGGGGCAGAGAGGTGCTGGGAGAGGCAGGAAAGACATGGAACTTGGGCATCAGTGCTCTGTGGGGTGACCAGGTCACCACCACTGCTGCCCCCAGAGAACCCAGCAGCATGAAGGGGAGGCTTGTACCCTGACAGGCAGTGTTGTTTTCTGCAGTGGGTTTTTTCCCAGGGGGGTTAGAGTTACTGCTTGCCTTTCTCTAAAGTCATACACAACAATAGTTCAAAGTGACTTTGGATGAACTTGCAAATTCAATTTGAACTCTACTAAAAAGTGAGTTTCTGCCACCATTTCAGCAGCAGCTGACCCGAGTTGAGCACCTGCCATGCCGTCCACCTGGAGTGGAATGGGTGTGTGCCGGTCCCCAGAGCAGTTGCTGGATGGAGCATTTCCCTTCAGAGCAGGCGTGGGGCTGGCTTTGTATTGCACGGCACGGCTGCCATTCACTCTCCCGACGCTGCCCAGTTCCCTGCTCTTTGAAGCACAGATGAGGGATGACAAAGCTTCCCCTCAGAAACTAGGGAGCAGTTAATTTTTTAAAATAGTAATGGTTAGTGAAAGCCATCTCCTGCTTTTGAAATAAATTGTGTTCATCTGCTGTCCCACTCCTGGGTAGTGGGTGGTTTTAGTTCAGTGTATTGGGATGCCCTAAAAGTCACCTCACAGCTTGGGTTTTTCCTAAGTGAGGGAGACAAGACTCCAGGTACGCAAGCAGAAATCCTGAGCGTGGCTGTGGCCGTCTCATTCTCACACTTAGATCTGGAGACGTGGAGTTGGTGTTTTTGAAGTTAGCACACAACCCCAGCTCAAAGCAAGGTCAGTGTTAAACATCACTAAAGATCTCTTTCAGGTCACAGCACACAGGTGTCCTGTGTGGTACTTCCAAGGCATTTTGTTAAGGTTCCTGGAAATGCCTTAAGCCAGCTTTTGAGTTCTTTAAATGTGAAACTAAAACACTCCGCAGTTTCTGGTGCACCCACTGAACTGGTTTAAGGTTTCAATTTGAATCATAATAGTTGGCCTCCTGGCAGGTGTCTGTTTGCTGCCTCTAGAGACCAGAGTTTGGTTCCTGGTGCCTGGCTGGTGTCAGTGCCTCCCTGTGTGCCCTGCTGTACCTGTTCATTCCATTCCCACCCCCTTGTTGCTTACCCCAAGAAAAGGGGTCTCTGCTACTTGACCTGCCTAACCTACAGCAAGCAGCCCTGTGGGTTAGATGCAGCAGACCTTGTTGGCTAAGTCTGACAAGTTAAACTGAATCATTAAAAATGATTTTTAATCTCTAAGGTAGTGACTCCTTGGGCATATAAACAATCTGAGAAAACAGTACATGCAGAATTAAAAGAGTTTCCTAGACACAAAAACTATCTGACACCTTTGTTCCTATCCTGTTAAACATTGCCATTGCTTTAATGTGCATTTTAAGATCCAGCACCCACAGGAGTGTTTTGGGGTGCGGTTGTGGGTGAGCGAGGCTGGGGCCTGGCAGTGTTGCCAGGCAACCTGGTCCACATCTGGCAAGGGTTAGGCAGGTGCCGTGAGGCTAGAAAGACTCTAAGATGAAAATACAGGATTCGCCTTTACTTAATCACCGTTAAAATGGTTAGGAAAGAACACATGAAAATCCTCAAAGTTGGGATGAGTATCTGTGAACAGTAACACCTCTTTAGATTCATGTAGTACTGGTGCAAGTTTTGTAAAATTTAAGGAATTTTACTTATCTTGGAAGCTCTGAAGACTTGCAGCCCTGAGGCCGCTGGGGAGGGCTGGCACCCTCTGCCAACGTGGCCAAGGCTGGCAGGGCCAAGCTGGGGCAGGCTGTTGAATCAGGCCTTATTTGTAGAGTCTGGGCTCTTTCCTGAGCTGTCAGACTTACCTCATTT